TAGTGCTGGGCTTGGCAGTGCTAGGTTAACAGTTGGACTTGATGATCTTAAAGGTCTTTTCCAACCTAAATGATTTTATGATTCTATGAAATTAATTGTGATTTTCTGTCTTTTCACTGTTTCTCAAGGGAGCCATGAGGAATGGCTCAAGCGTACATGTCTACACTGTAATTCTTCCTCATTCTCAGTTACACCACTATCTACAAAAAATATTTTCCCTTAAAGAGAATCCGTCCCAGCTCTTGGTAAAAGAAGAGTCCCATGTTACCAGATTTCCTTTCCTTATGGAAGCACTTGCACTTCTTATCCTTGAACTCCTAATAAGAGCATTTTCAAGCAGTGGTGTGGCACAAAAGAAAGAAGGAGAAAAGTGCTGTTTATTACTCCTCTCCCCCATGTCCTGCCACAAGAAGCCCCAGTGGTCCAAAGCAGAGAGGACATATAACCTTCTCAGCCTTGTGGTGTTATGTTCTGTTGAAAACACAGCAATAATCCACAGGGTTTTGGTGTCTCCCTAGGAGCTCTGCTTCAGATGTCTACCCACAAGACTCCAGTCATTTTCGAAATCACTGCTCCCTGGAATAACATGTCCCCTGACTGCGAGTTTCTCAGATACCATGAAGATGCCTTCAGATTCAGGAGCTAGACAGGCAGTCTCCCATGGAGATGCTGATGTGCACCACAGCCAAATAAGCAGCCTTTGAAATAAGGACAACTTAAGCATCCGTATACCCAGCCATCTCTCCATACCCAGCTGGGAATCTCCATATTTTTGTTATGCACAAAATCTTGTTACAGGCAAAAAGGAAACACATCTTACATGTAAAGCCAAGATTTTATTATTACTATGTATGAAATCTTAACCATTTAATCAAAGAATTATGATTAGTGAAGATCAAATTATTACAGACATAAAAAGAAAAAGAAAATAATTATTATTGTTATAGAAAAAGTTTCAATAACAATACAGTTAAAATTGCTATACACATACTTACTAGTTTCTACCCATTTTCCTGGTGTTATGCTCACTGTTCCACTAATGTTGCTGTCTCTCACCTTACAGGGAGGTACGGTGGGTCACCTGCATTCTGAGTCCTCCATTGGGAGGAGTACGATGATGGAAATGGATCCTTGTTCCTCAACTGATGACCTACTGGGAGTCATTTTGATTATGTTTGCCAATACACTTTCATACCTTGCTCTTTTTTCGTTGGTCAGAACATGCAGGTCCACCTCATATAGGATTTTACTGTGTATGGTGCATTTTACATTGGTTTGATATTTGCTGTTTGTTCTCTTTACTATTCCTAAAGATTATTTTGTCCACCTCTAGGTCTGTATTTCTTTGACTGTTGGTGAGTCATTCATAGCCGAGGGATCTCTACTGCCAAGCTGGTGCCCCATCTTGTATCACCCCCTGCTACGTTCCTCTGTGCCATGTCCTGCACCTCCATCTCTTGAGGCCTCTGCTGCCGTACCAGGTCTGTATTTCTTTACGTTTGAGTTGTAAATAGTTGATTCTACCTACAACAACTCATTGTTATGGCTAGCTATATAAACTTACAGTTGCACCATACAAAGATAAAGAAAAGTAAAGCAAATCAGGCATAACCACCTGATCAATTACGAAAACTGATGTTATAGCTGAGAAAAGTAAAAAGAAAGCTGAAGGCAGATCAAGACAAGTTCAGACAAAGCAAGCCCAACAAGCCTCATCCCTGAGGACTTGCAAACTCAAAGAAAAAGAGTGTGGCCTGTTACAAGCAATGCCAGTATTGTGTTTACTGGGCTACAGAGCTATATTGTCATCTCTTGCAATTGGGAACCAATGGTTTTTCTTCTGTCCACCTTTCTGATGACATGAATTTAGCTCCACCAACCAGATATGCTCCTCTCACCTTCCCAAGCCCAGCAATGGCTTTCTTTCAAGCACTTTCTGTATCTCTGCCCATGACTTATACTCTCAGTGTCCATGACTACAGTGGTATTTTTAGTGTGGCTCTCTAAGATGATGATATAACACAATAAACTAGCTCCTGATGTATTTGTTTTTAAATGCTCTTTGACATGATAATTTTGTGATGTTCTGGGCCACGACTGCACTGCTTATCAACCAACACAGGGTAAGGACAGGGTAGTCTGAGCCCTGTAACTCATGTCTGAGAGAAAGCAGTGCTGTGCAGTGAAAAACTGAAACCTGTATTTCTTTCTGAGTTTTGCGAGTACTTAATGATGTTGGTTTCATGTGCAGAAGTGCTGACATATACACACTTCTGGACAGTGAATAGGAAATGTCTAGTATTTTTTCTGTCCCTAACAAGTGAGTAAGTAGTCAGCTATTTTGACCACGTCCTAATAAACCCTGCATTTACGACAATGCAAAATAAATGGGTCTTTTTTTGGCTTTGTTTGGAGAAAGAAGATAAAACAGCGTTTGTCACAAGCGCCTATGAACAGAGAAGAGGAAATACTTATCCATATGTCTGGGCACCAGCTTTGTTTTCAGGGAAATTTCAGTTTCTTCAGATTGTAGAAGAAAGTTATCAGCTATGGTGAAGTGCCCTGGGCTTCTGGATATAACAAACGTCATTCAGTGATGCAATGAAAAACAGAGAGGTGGTCATGACAGAACCCAGTGGCCATGAAGTGGCCTATGACCACTGCATTTAACCAGTGCATGACAAATCACTTGTGTTAGGTCTTAGCAATAGCACAGCAAGAACATGAAGTGCCCACTTCACATCTTGGCATTTGTGCATGTTCTGGGACTGCTAAGAGTATTTGACACCCTTCTTTCCCCATGGATTTTTAACAGACCTCTCTTTATTGCACTCGGTACCTGGAGTACAGATGGGTTCGTGTCCTCATGGGTTCATGAGTGATACCTGGATTTAGACAAGTGGTCTTTAGTTTGGAAAAGAGCTATCAGGGTGGACATAGGGCTATATAACATAAACGGTGCAGAAAAGGCAGACAGGGAACAGTCTCACTACTGATCATCTATGAGAACAAGGGATCTGAATGAAATCATAAGGCAGAGGGTTTGAAAGAGAAACCAACTACCCTTAATGAAATGGTGGCATTAAGCCTAAAAGGGTGCTGTGAAGGCTGGGGGTGTGAATAAAATCCACATGCAATAAGACATATTGGTGTTTCACTGTTTGTTACCATACACAATGGTTCTGATGCAGCCCCTGGGCCAGCACAACCTGAGACTGCTGACTGCCAGAATTGGCAGATAAAAAGGAGGAACCTCCATGTACCACCCTTGTGCAGCAGAAAGCAAAAAATATATCAAACACCTTTGAGGACTGAGCTCTGGGCACGGCCCATAGGTAGAGGACACTGCAAAGCACACACTGCCGGTTAATGCAAGCTTGCAGCCCGTTTCCAAAGTCCTTCCATAGCCAGGGATGTGGTTCACGCAGCCACCTCCATGCCAATGCAGCACCCTGACCACTTACACAAAGTTGTTCCAGCAAAGGAATTATATTTGAGCAACTTGGGAGTTGTGTGTGAATCCAGAATTGCGGTTCATTCCAAATTTGATCTCATTTTGTCAATGAGAGAAATCACAGGTGAAAATCATTGCAGAAACATCTGCCGGACTTTGCAGAATGTCTGGAGACAATGATCTTTGTGCTGTGGTGATCTTAGTGGGTGCATCACAGGATTACAGGAAACTCAGGCTGGAAGGGGGACTCAGGAGGTTTCTAACACAAGTTCACAATCAAAGCTTTCATTTGTGAGGTCAGCCCAGGTTCCTCAGGACTTTATCCAGCTGAGCCATGAAAACTTCCAAGGAGGGAAACTGTACCAGCTTTCTTGGAAACCCGCTCTAATGCATATGCTACATGGAAGACTTTAAATCTCATCTTCATTGATTATTCCAAATATTACAAGCAGAGTCATAATTGGAGAAGAACTTTTTTACTGAATTTTGAAAAGAGGATTATAGGAAAACGCAGAATCAGACCAGGATGGATAACATCAAAATGTAGGAGCCATTACAACACACAAGGAATTACAGATGATGCTCTGGAGCAATGAAGCAAGGGGGACAGTCATTCCACCAAATCCCAAATTCAGGCCAGAACTGTTACACAGATCACCCAATCTTCCCAATAAAGATAGTTTCATACCAGTGGAGTTGGTAGAAGAAACGTTGATGGAAGGCCACTGCCAGCGCGGGGTAATGGGAAACGTCTTACACATCTGCTGCAAGACTGACCGCAAAACCCAACTCATCTCACTGCATAAACAATACTGAAAGGTGGAACTGGAGTTTGGAAATAAAATAAGACAAAATAAAACAAAATAAAATAATAAACTTACCAGAGAACGGGTGCACTACAAATAACTTTAGCGATCACTACAGTTTTAACACAACATTCTCTTTATTCTGCTCAAACAGGTACAGAAATCAAGAGATTTTAGCCTCCTTGGATCAGATCATTGGCACAGGAAATTTAGTCTCCTGTCTTATATTTTGGACTCAGAAGGGTCTCCTTAATTTCTTGTGTACAAAGAAAAAGATCTAAACAAAACAAAGAGCCAGCACAAAACTGTGAGGTGGAGAGGACCTGTCACATAGCTAAATTTAATCTGAGAAGACTGGCCTGTTCAGTTATTCTGCTGGTTAACACCTGGGGAAAAAATGCTCTAAGGATGTATGCAAGGCTCTTAGCACAAGTTTTTTTGCTTTAAATATACTTCATACAGAAGAATTCTTTACTTCAAAACCAACTAGACCAGCTCAGCAAAGAAATGCCATAGTTAGCTTTGTGGGAGTTGTTGAAGAGTCAATTCAAAAATTTATGTCAGGACTTCCTGAGTTTTGCTTCTCTCTTGGTCATGGGAAAAGGGCGGGTACTAAAAAAGCAATTTCTGGGAGCTATTGATGGTTGTCCATGAGGCATCCAAACAGAAAACTGGGCTGGCAGGGCTTTATTCTCTTCTTCATTGGGTTCTTCGGCATGAAAGACCTCCCCATCAGCTCCTTACAGTCTAGTCCAGAAGAAGGCACAAAGGGAACTTGCTAGCATCCCAACTGGCATAAAGCTAGTCCTCAAACTAGCTGCGCCATCAACATTGCACAAGTCAGAGTAACAGCAGGAAACGGGGCGCGTCATACCAATCCCATCCACATCGGATGGGATGCAGATGGAAGAGCACATCTTGGTGACAGTCGAGACTCCCGTGAAGGGATAAACTACAACAAAGAAAGAAAGAACAGTTAGGAATGGGAAGAATGGAAGAGAACTCTCCTTGTCCCTAGTGAAGCATTAGCTGCCTTCACCACCAAAGTCTTAGCTCCAGTTTAAACACAATTGGTCTGCTTCCTACCAGGAATATAGGAAACAGTTCTTACTGAGTGGCCACAAGCTGAAGAGCACCTTGCATCCTCTGTGTCCTGCCTGGATCAGCTTTACCCTGCAAAAGGTCAATTAGGCACTTTCTCTGCTCTGCTTTGACTCTACTCACTAGCTCCTTCCTCTCCCACGTGCAACCAGAGCCTTATCAGCAGGATCATGCAAAAGAGAAAGCCTTCATCTTCACAGCACATTTTTTTATTTGGATAGGTTATGACCTGTAGAGTCACCAGTCAGACTGACGATGCCTTCCTGAGAGCTCCAGAGAACTCAAGGGCATTTCTGTTTTGCCTGCAGATGACCAGAAGTTGGTGTCCCCACCTACTGGCCTCTCTACTCCAACCAGCTTTCATAAAGAGTTCTCAGGTCAGGAGAGCACTGTTTAACCCACACCCATTGTGCGAGTCATGCAAATAGTCTGGACACCCAGAACTCTTTAGCTCCATGTCTCAAGCTCAAGTTAACATGTTTTTTCTAATCGTGCTCAACACTGAGCGTTAGCTATGAGCTTGCATTCACTAAGTATTCACTCACATGAAGACTGCTTTTTGCAACAGCAGGAGACAGCTCTCGGCCCCATGGGAGCTCTTTTCCAAGCTTACATATTTAAGTGAGAAAAGGTACTGCTCCCCACACCAGTAGTCTTCACTGTAGAAACACTGACTCATGTCAAAAATATGGATAAAGAAGTAATTGCCCTTACCTTCCTCCAGGGAATACATAGTAGTTTTGCACATGGTTTCATTCTTCTTGCAGCTCTGGATTGTCAGGCACTTACCAACAGCAGTAGGCTCATGGCAAGTGTAACATCGCAAGGTTTGCACTGCAAGGAGTTAAAACATGAAGTTGGCCTTAGTGTGGACCACCAGATTCTGTCCACGCCCCTCCGGGTACCTCTGAGGAGGACTTCTTTCCAAAATACTCATACTGAGAACAGAAATGGAATATAAAAGATATTTCTACCAACGCAAACGAGAAATACTGTAGTCTGGAGGTCAAAGCACAGCCTCATGAGTTCCAACCCCTCGTAACAAGTCAAGCAAGACAGAGGCACACACACAGAAGACCCCATGATACAGGAAAGACCTCAGAGTTGGTTTACCTCAATTCTATTCTTGCTTTGCATCTGTTTTTTTCCTTGCTTTTGCATTAGTAGAGCATCAGGAAGCGATCACAGACTCACAACTGACAGAATCACAGAATGGTGGAGGTTGGAAGGGATTTCAAGCACAACCACTTAGAACCAGTTCCCCAGGACTGTGTCCAGATAGAGTTTTAATATCTCCAAGGATGGAGACTCCTCAACCTCCTCGGGCAACCTGTGCCAGAGCACAGTCACCTTCACAGTAATAAAGTGTTTCCTGATGTTCAAAGGGAACCTCCTGTGTTTGAGTTTGTGTCCATTGCCTCTGGTCCTGGCACTGGGCACCACTGAAAAGAGCCTGGCTCTGTCCTCTTTGCACCCTCGCTTCAGGTATTTATGGACATTAATAAGATCCCCTCCTGAGCCTTCCCTTCTCCAGGCTGAACGGGCACAGCTCTCAGCTTTTCTTCAGAGGAGAGATACTCATTCTTGTGGCCCTTCGTTGGACTCTCTCCAGTATGTCCATGTCTCTCTTGTACTGGGGAGCCCAGAACTGGACACAGGACTCCAGATGTGGCCTCATCAGTGTTGAGTAGAGGGGAAGGATCACCTACCTTGACCTGCAGGCAATACTTAATCTAATGCAACCTTGGATAACTCACTCGTTCTCCCTGGTGGGATGGGGGAGAGAATCAGGAAAGTAAAAGTGAGAAAACCAGCAACGTGTCCTTGCAGCAAAGAAGGCTAATGTCATCCATCAACCCCAACATGACACTCGTCACTGGACAAGTCAAAGCCACAGCATTTGTGTTCCTCTTTGGAAAAAAACCCACTTGTCCCTCCCCTGTAGAATCCGCTCTGCAGACTCAAAGATGGAGGAAGGAAAATGTCTTACATAAGAAGGAAATAAATACAAAGGAAAAAATCCTAACACAGCTCTACGTCCCAGCCAGGCACAGATAAAATCAGACCCTACACTGCCTGGATGTGGAAGAGCTTTGCAGAGCATGCGAATATCCCAATTAACAATCACAGTGCCTGCACTAGCCCTGCATAGGACTTACCCAGGCCATCCAGGCTAACATCAACTCTGAGCTCGAGATCATCAGTATAAAATAAGTTTTTATGCAAGAAGCTATTCTGGTGGCAACATCAAGGGACGGGGAGTCTATGTTAGCATGTCCTTTCCACTGTGCAGTCAGCTTCCACCATTACAGGTCATGGCATCACCTCTTGCGTGGGTCTGTCTGCAATGAGGGGGGTCCCTGCTTTCTAGAGAACGAAAACACCAACATCCCAAACACCCTTCCATGCTTGGCTTCATGGAGCTGCTGATGGAAGAGAAGCAACTGAATCTCACCAATGGAAATAGAGAGGTAAGAGTTGCATAGCATCCCTGAACAGCCTGGACTCATGGGGCTTGTTCCCTACCTCCACATCGTAGAGAGCTCACCCTCAGTATCAGGCTGCTGTTGTCTACCCACCTTGACTGTGTGCTTCAAGCCTACCCCCTCCAGTGAGGTGGCAGGTAGCCTAATAGGGACAGAAAGGAGGGAGGGAAGATAGTGGGGGTCCCTCCCTGTGGTGACAAACTCTCCTGCAGATGAGGGAAGTCCTCAAAACACTTCACACTTGGATGTTTTCCAAGGTGGCCTGCTGAAATTGTCTTTGACTTCATGCAAACCATAGCGTATTAATGAACAGAGCTAGAAAAATCAGCTTTACAGTACCTGGACCACCAGTTTCGTGTCCCAGCCCATCTTTCCCACTTCTAATGGCTGAAGTTTAATAAACCATATATGCAACATGTAATTAGAGAGAGATGCTACAAACACTGCATTAAACTGGATAGCTGACTTTCAGGGTTAAGCCTCAAAAGAGGAACAGAAAGGGTTTTTTTTAAAAAAAAAAAAAAAAAAAAAAAAAAAACCAACAACAAAAAAAAACAAACATGAGAGTGAGATTGAGCAAGAACACATAAAAAGTGAGAGCTGGAATTTGCATTAAAGAAATGACACGGTATAATCACACTTTGTCTTGTAACACTTCCTAAAGAGCCTGAACTAACAATCCCAATGAGACCATGATGATCCTGAACATCTGGTAGGCTGGAAATACTCCAAAGAAATATTTTTTTGCTGAATACTGCCCAAAGTAGGAGGCATGGACTTCAGAGGGAACAGGACATACCCCATCCCATCATGCTGCATCTCCTCTAGGAGTTTGGATAAATCAGAGCAGGAACTTACCGAACCCCATGCAAGCAACAGCAACCAACAGAAGAGACAGAAACATCTTCATCTTGCAAGGATCCTCTTCTCCTGGTCACTGGACTGCCACCAGTCTTCACCACTAGCTTTAATGGCACAACTCCTGGTGGCTTGCCATGTACCAATTCCGACCCCAGATCCAATTCTACCGGAAAAACGAGTCTGATTTGAGCTATAAATGAATCGAATGATCTACAAAGCAGGCTCCACCTCCTATCATACTGTCTTCTCTTTTCATGTTCCTTGGAGAAGAAAATGAGGGTTTGCATGGCAAACAATAGCTGAAATTGTTTAAGCTGGGTGCTTTGTGTCCACTCATGATGTGTAAACCCAGGGGTATTAAATAATCCCAGATACTATGCGTTGCCTTGCAGCTTGGTGATACTTCTTTTTTGTAGTGGTTAGAGAGAGCTGGGCAGTTTCCATGAATCCTGAGAAGAAACCATCTGTAGCTGTGATTGAACTTCATGTACTTTTCTCCTCCGTGTTTTTACCCTCAGCAGGGTATCAGTTTATCACCAGGAGGAGAAGTGGAAAGCCACCTTGCAGTCCCTTACTGACTGGAAACTGCATGGTTGGGGTTTTGGTACTGTAATACCTCTCCCCAAACTGTGAGCAGGGTTTCAGGGGGCTGTGGATGGGAGCATGCCTTCTCCCTCTCTCCTCTCTGTGTCCTCTATGGACAGAGGTGGTGGGAGCACTGCGAAAACAACATGACCAGACCATAAAAGTTTGGGCCAAAGGAGTCTCTCAGGCTTGTTATCCTGAGCCCTTCAGGCAGTATGGTGCATGGAGAAGCCCCTCTGCTCTGAGCCAACCCTCTCCAAACGTGTCGTCAAGCCCACGTCTTCTTTGCTTGCCAAACACCTTGGTTTCGCCAGCCCCAAACCCTGCTGCCCCCAGGCATCTGCTTGCATCTCCTGTGCCTCAGGCCAGCCCCATGGTAGTAAAACCTCCTACAACGTGTGATGAGCAAGTTTGATTGTGCAATTGCAAAAACTGGTAAAGAGGAACCTTTCTGAGGTTATGCCAGGTGCCCACCCAATACACACTTCTAATAAGGAAAGAAAGGAGGGAAAGCTGAAACAAGGATATTCTTTGAGATCTTTCCACCCTCTTTGTTATCTATCGAACTATCGGAGGAACTTTATTTGGGGTTAGTATCATTAGAATTCTTGGAATGTTAAAAGGTCTTCTGCTGTTCCCAGATAAACAACCCAGTCCTCGTCTCTCCAAATCTAAAACTCCAGTGACAGTGGTCTTATCATTTTAGCAAGGCCTGCCCCGTTTACAAACAAAACTTCTGGGTGATCTACACGCTCAGGAATTTGGACCCATTGTTTTCACAGTTGCCTCCTGAATACAGTCATTATGTTCATTATCAAAGTTTAGCAGTTATTTCCAGCCCAAAATTATTGAAAGGTATTTTGGTACATAATCAGTTTGGCATTCCTCATGTTCAGCAGAGAATTTTATAATCCTATTAAGAAAGATGAAATATGCTGATCGTGTTTGCTTTGTTCTTAGGGAAAAAAAAAAAAAACTGAACATGGAAAGGGGTGTCGTTTCTGGTTTCTCCTATTAAGTGGCCTCAAACAATGTGAGCTAGATGATTAGTTTCACATGCACATCTGAAATGTGATCTTCATTACATTGTAAGATTCTGGATGGAAGAATATATGCCAACACTTTGCTTAAATCCTGTGCCCTCCTTCAGCTTGTAGGGTTGTTATGGGGAGGGGTGACAACATACCTCACTTGTTTATAGTTTCAGTTGATCTTATCTGAGTCTTTAAGCATCACCTGAAATGTTTCCTCTTTTATGCACACCCTATGCAATTGCCTTGCAGTGTTGGCAAATCACCGAAGAAACAACAAGAATTAATAGGAACATCCAAATAGTCCTTTTATTCTTTTGAGGGTAATCGCAGCCTATTGTGTTGGGAGTTTTCCATTAACTGCAGAGAAAAAAAAATAAAAAGTCACAAGATGTATAAATCTGCCTCAACAACCCACAAGATGGATTTGAAAAAAAAGTCATTTTCTAGTATATGTATTCAAAGGCAAACTAGTAGAACTCTCTGCATTTCCGAGGAGTTTGTAATCATAAATAAAAGGAAAAGTTCAGAGTCACATGTTTACTTCCAGCCTGAGAAACCTGTGTCAAACTCCTTTCCTGTCCTACGTGGCCAGCTGAGATAGTCTCTGGGTGGAGGCACCTTCATCTGATGTGAGCAGTCCTGTAACAGTTGCATCCATGCTGGAAATAATCTCCAAATACCCTAACCTCCCAATAGACTTGCTCACACTGCCTAATTACCAGGCTGAGGAGGTGTCGTGGTTTAACCCCAGCTGGCAACTAAGCATCACACAGCCGCTCACTGTAAGATGAGTAAATATTAGTATCTCAAAATCAGATATAAGGAAGCTGAGATGCAGAGAGGTTAATTAGGTTTATGGAGCAAGGTAGGAGCAATTCCAGAAATAGAGCCAGCATTGTATTACACATGGTTTAACCATTAGTTAATACTCCTTTTTCTTCAGTGCTCTTCTGCTGCTTTTGTGCAACCCTGGTAAGAGGTGCATGAGTTACTAGAAGTAATAGGAGTGAGTGTTGGCCTGAAAGCCACATACCTAGAGGTTTATTCTAAGTTCTGTCAATGGCTTGCTAGCTGACTTTGGAAAATTAACCTCAATTTCCCCATTCTAGATAGTAAGTTGGTGCATGTTGTAGGGTGGATGATCTACTACAATATAGCTGATCAACTACATGATCAACTATAGATCAACTACATGACAGCTACGTATTAGAAAGGCTAAAGAGGAGAATTGTTCAAACAATTCACAGTTTTCTCCTAGTAGCTTCAAAATAGTGTCAATGATGAAAGCCACTTAAGAAAGCCAACAGTAAGCATAGGTTAGTCTAATCAGTAAACCTGCTGGTGTGCAGAGTGCCAGAGATTAAATCACCATGAATTTCACCTCTGATGCATAATGTCCCCCAACTGTCTCTCAGAGAAACCACAATTCTCCAGAGATGAGAGCCACTTCACACCAAAAAAGGAGGAACGAAACAGATATCTTTGCCCTCTTCCATTTCCTCCACTGATGAGCAACGTCTTTAAAAGTTAAAGAGAAACCTGGAAAAGCAAAGTGAAAAATAAACAGTGCCAAGCCTGAATCTGGCCTATCCCTATGAATAATGCATCAGGAATCCAACCCTGCAGCTCACTTAGAGCCATTTCCACTCCGGCATCACTCATTAGCTCGTTAGTCACAGCAGCCTTATTCCTGCTAATTGATTTTACTACAATTCCCTACAATATATGGCCAAGATCCAACATGTCTCTGCCTGGCTTCAAAACCATTATATTGGCACAGCTTTGCAAGACACTTCAGCCCTCTCTCAAGCCTATTGAGCATATAAAGATTGGATGATTCCCGGAACCAAGTTGTTGGAAGGTGTCCTTGGGGAAAGGCCATGTGTGCCTTCAGCCTGACAAGCCATAGGAGCATAGAATCATTTAGATTGGAAAAGACCTTTAAGATTATCAAGCCCAACCGTTAACCTAGCACTGCCAAGCCCAGCACTAAATCATGTCCCTAAGCACTACATCTACACATCTTTTAAATACCTCCAGGGATGGAGATTCCACCACTTCCCTGGGCAGCCTCTTCCAATGCCTAACAACTCTTTCTGTGAAGAAATTGTACCTAATATCAAATCTAAACCTCCCCTGGCACAACTTGAGGCCATTTCCTTTTGTCCTATCACTTGTTTCTTGGGAGAACAGACCGACCCCCACCTGGCTACAACCTCCTTTCAGGTCATTGTAGAGGGCAATAAGGTCTCCCCTCAGTTTCCTTTTCTCCAGGTTAAACACCCCCAGCTCACAAGACTTGTGCTCCAGACCCTTCACCAGCTTCATTGCCCTTCTCTGGACTCACTCCAGCACCTCAAGGTCTTTCTTGTAGTGAGGGACCCAGAATAGAGCACAGTACTCGAGGTGCTGCCTTACCAGTGCTGAGTACAAGGGGACAATCACTTCCCTGGTCCTGCTGGCCACACTATTTCTGATACAAGCCAGGATGCCATTGGTTTTCTTGGCCACCTGGGCACACTGCCAGCTGTCGACCAACGCCTCCAGGTCTTTTTCCGCCGGGCAGCTTTCCAGCCACTCTTCCCCAAGCCTGTATCATTGCATGGGGTTGTTGTGACCCAAGTGAAGGACCTGGCACTTGGCCTTGTTTAACCTCACACAGTTGGCCTCAGCCCACCTATCCAGCCCTTCCAGATCCCTCTGTAGGGCTCAAAGCACCCTGCTGAGCAGAGAGTTGTGAATTTCACACCTGGTAGCAGGTCAATCTGCTATAGATCGGAGCTGCAGAAGGGTACAGAAAGTTTGGCAGCTCTCTCCACACTGTTTTCCACCTTGGTACTGGGCTGGGATGTGAGGGATGATGGTTAGTGCAGGACCTGGGGTAGACAGATCAGACCAGACTGCAAGTACGAAGAGTTTCTTTAACTCTGCTGCTTTTCCCATATTCCCACCAGACCTCACTATAGCTACCCCCCTGCCCCAGACATGTGTTGTCTGCTGTGCCTGAGGATTAGTCATGCTTTGTATATTCACCAGGACAGGAAGGCAGGGAACAAGATGATTTATTTTTATAAGGAGGCCTATTCCCTGTATGTAATGATTCACCTGCTTTTTTTTTTTTTTTTTTTTTCCCTCCACCTGCTTTTTTTCCCTTTGAATTCAACGCAGGTACCTCTTATCTCTAGGTTAGTATTTAGCCTAACCTCTGTGTAGCACATAACTCTTTCTGAGTGGAATCTTCATATTTATCACTTGCTTGGCCACCGGCCAACATATAGATACAGTGGTCTATGGGGGAATCTCACAGGAGTTCATAACTACTAAAGTGTGTTCTCCCTCTCTCTTCGTAATGTGCATAGAAAGGATTGATCATATATTTATAACTAGTGGGAATTTGTCTTCCTTCCTGATCAAATTTTTCTAGTTCCCT